TTGTATGGACTACTTAAACTTTAAGAACAATCTTTATTTATGGTACAATCAAGAAATTTGAAGTTCAAATCCATCTAATGCCTCTGATAATACCGGGCTTTGTGTTTCAGGGTTTAAGATTGAGTGAATTACAAATAAAAGTAAACAAAAAAAAGTAGCCTACTCAACTGTAGTGGAGCTTTTGAAGAGTAAACTTAATTAAAAACAAACCAAAAATGCAATAAACAATTGATTGTCATATGCAGTACTTGCAGGAAAAAAATATCTCCACTCATAGTAGCACATTTACATATATCTTGGAATAAAAAGAAATGAGTGGTAGATTAATCAAATGCACAACAGTATAGAATAATTGTATAAAATTCTCTAAATTTTAAAAGCTAGGAAAATAACATTAGCAAGTAACATAGTAAAGAACATAGAGTCTATATTGTAAATATAATTCACCAATAGTAAGCAGAACAAAGTAGTTTCAATAAATGTAAACTAACATTTATAAGATGTTAATGTTCAATAGAAATGTCAATATTTCAAATTTGCATATTTCAAAATATGCAAAGTGAAATGAGTCAATACTGGTAATTCAAATAAATCTAATTTCATCTATATTTTGGTAATTTGTAGCAAACAAAATAGCAAGCAACCTTCATTCACAGTTATAAGTTGTTGTTATCTAGTTAATAATTTTTGTGACCAAATTGCTGTCTCTATAATTATAAATGCTGCTAGCTAATTACTAATGAATTTGCTTTCCAGGTCTAAACATTATTAAAAATAACAACTCATGTATTTTTTAACAAAACCACAAAATGTGTATTTATAAAGACACATGTCAGCCTTTTAGTATAGAATACCAGTATTGAATGATTCTAATGCAGGTATTTCAGGCCTTGTTAAGAAGCGTTTTAAAATGGCCATTTTCTTATGTGTTTAGCAGTTTTATGTTACGAAAAACTTTTTTTTTACTTTGGAATATTTAAATTATCTTTTAATACTGTTTCTGTGATATTTGTTCAGCAAATGTAAAGTCGTAAAAAAAAAAGCATTTAACCGCAACTGTGATTTTTTTTTGTTAATGAAACTTAATTTAAAGACTTTAAATTAAATATGAATTTAATAATTTATACTTTGTTTTAAAGGAATGTAAAATAGTTATAAAACATAGAATGTAAAATTTATTTTTCAAAGAAATGTAAAATAGTATTGTAATATTTATTAAAAAAACTTTTCTTCTTATTGTCTACTTACTAGTTTATTACATAAAACATAGGTCTTCTCATCGTAGATTAAAATATGTGAAAGCAAATATAAAACCTTTTTTTTTCTTATAAAAAAGAGAAGTGTTTTTGTTAAAGAGAATTTTTTACAAATATATTTAAGATTTGGGTTGTATTAATTAAATTTTGTAAAGTTCTTTTGACGTAATTTATTTATGAACAAAATTATGTTTACATGATTTTGTTTATTTATACAATTACAATATTTTATTGATAACTAAATTCAATCTATAAATTGATAATAACCTTTATTAAAATTATTATATTAAATACTACATTATAATTTATATAAAAAATATTACATTAAAAAAATAAAAATAATAAATAAGTTGTGATAAAGAAACAAAAGATTATGATAAGTATAATATTGTTAAGTATAATATTAAGTATAATATTGTTAAGTATAATATTGTTTTAAGAAATAAATTATAAAGAAACATAATCTTTTTAAAATACCAATTTAGATTTCATCAGTAATTTTTGCTATATAAGTTTAAATGCTTTAACACAGTTTAAAATAATTGCAATGTGGTACTTTAAAATATGCTAATGATGCTATTTTACTTTGAAAAATGTAAATATCAAAGCTGTGTTAAAATTACATTTATTAGCGTTAAGTGTTTTTGTTACACAATAAAATCTCATAACAACGTCTGGTATTTGAGTACTTTAACTGTTGATTTTTAATCAATATTTTAAAATAACATTTGTATCCATTTGATTTTCTTAATTTATCTTTACTAAGAATGTAAAAAAAGATGAATGTAGAAATTAATATGTTAAATTTTTAAACTCTTTTAAAATTCCTGAAAGGTCGATTAAACATGGATTTTATTTACAAATGCGAGTCTTTAAGAACAATCTTGAAATTTTTTGTCCTAAAGTCCTGTTCATGCATGCATGCATGAGTCACTTTAATACAAGGAACCCAACTTCATTTCTATTGATACAACAACTAATTTTCTTTTTGACAGTAAAATTAGGTCATCACCAAGTAAAAAAACCCTCTTAGTGTGTTCAAAAAATATATCATTTCAAGGAAAACAGAGTTTGATCAAATTTGTTATCTGCATAAAGCATTTAAAGATAGTATTAGAAGTAAAAAGAAATTTTAATTATCCATGTATATCAAAAAAATTATTAATGGTTTACAACAAGGCTCTGTTATTAGACCAATTTTGATTTGAATTTATATCAATGATCTTCCGGATAAATAAAAAAATAAATGCAGACTCTATGCTGATGATTGCATATGCTAATGATTGTATTTAGTTGTTTAGATGAGTTTTCCAGATAATCCGTGATAACAGTTGTAATGATCTAGGTATGACATAAATCAGGATGACATAAATTTCATTTTTAACTGGTGCAATGACTATATTATGCAATTAAATATAGAAAAATGTAAAACTATGTATGTATTACACAAAATTTAAGAAAAATATTAAAAAATATTACTTTTCTGATTATCAATTGAGTACTGTAGAATATGAAAATGACCTTGGTGCCAAGTTGATAAATAATCTGAAATATGATTATCATATATCTGCATGTGTTTCTAAAGCAAATATAATTTTAGGTCCAATCAAACACACATTTTCATTTTTAAATACTGGTATAGTTAAATTTTTATATATTTTTCTAGTACACCCTTATCTTGAATATGTCTTTTATTTGGAATCCATTTTAAAAAAAAGATATTAACCTTATTGAAAGAGTACAATATAAAGCAACAATACTAATAAACAGGATACTCAGAGCTACTTTATGAAGAAAAATTAAAAAGAAGCGATTTTAATTAGTTTTTTTTTAATTTGTTAATAATTTCTATTAGCTTCACATGGTATCTTCCTTAAGGAACTTTCATCGATCAACAGGACCAGCTGGAAGTGTCCATGAATATATCCATAATTAAAGATACATTTCCAAAAACAGTACACACTATTAAAAGATATTGTTTTACCAATTGCACCATTCCAATGCGGAACAATTTGTCATTTGATGTCAAACTTATCAATTCCCTGTTGATTAAAAAAAAAAAAACTTGATGAACTTTATTATGTGACTTAATATTTTAAATTGCAGTTATTAAACTTGCTGCTAAAGCAAGTTAGCATATGCTCACCACAGCAAATAAATAAGTTTACTGTTGGGTATAGTAAATCAAAAAGGACTTTAAACTCAAAGCACATATTTTGAGGAAACAAACCCATGAAATTCACAATTTTGAGATTAGTGAAGTTAAAATTAATGAACTAGTAAATATTCAGCAAAAGTCATTTATAAGCAAATTAACTATAAGATTGCCAGAAAACAACCAGAATATGCTGGTAATATAATCCAGTCTTACAATCTAGAAAATAAGAGTATTTAAAAATAAAAGTATATAAACAATATCTCTTACAGATTTGTGATTTTCTTTAAACAGTTCAGTCAATTAGTTAATTGTGGTGTATTATGAACAACTCTGTTATACTTTTTAAAAACTTAAATGGAATTAGAGAAAAGAACTCAATCAAGCAGACAAAAAAAGTTGAGTAACTTTCAAGTTTTTTTTTCATTTGTAAACTTATTTGCTTTTATTATTTTTTGCTTTTTAAAAAACATCACTATTTTAATGTTTTTGCTTTGAATTTACATTTTATTTACATATAACCTAACATTTTCTTGAGTATTTTCTACCAGTTCAAATATCTATACTTTGCCACTATATTTTTCTATCGCCAAAGTTTCATTATTGATTTTCAATTTAGTACTGAACAGCCAAATACTTTTGTTTAATAGTGTATATAAGTCCAAAACTAGCCACCAAACCTTTTAATATAATACAATTTTAATTTTTATATCTTATAAGCTTCTATAAAGATAAGACAAAATTATTTTAACAAATAATCATATCCTATCCTTAGAATGCATTGTAAACATAGTTGGACCTGCTCTTGCAGCCAACCTTCAACCTATGTCACATTGCCGTAATGTTGCTATTCTTTCTCTTTTCTACAAATACTATAATGGGCACTGCTCTAAAGAGCTAGCGTCTCTTGTGCCATCTACTAAAATTCATTCTCGTGTTACTCGTCATTCAATTAAGTCTCATCCTTTTTCTGTTACTGTTCCTAAGTGCTCCAAAAACTCTTATTCGTCTAGTTTTTTTTCTCGAACATCAGTTCTTTGGAATTCGCTTCCTTCATCTTGCTTTCCTGATTCATATAATTTGCAATATTTTAAGTCGTCTGTCAATCGCTATCTTGCTCTACAATCTTCATCTTTTCTCTTCCAGTAACTTCCAACACTAATTAGTGGTTGCTTGCAACCTTGTTGGAAACGAAGATAATTAAAAGAAAAAAAAAAAGAATGCCATTTATGAACTTTTTAAACAAAGTAGTTATGAGAATAAGATTATTTAAAATAAGATCAAAGTATTTTTGTTGTTGACTTTTCTTGTTTTTACAAAAATGTGAATCAGCAAAATTCAACTATGATATTTGAAAAACGCCAGTGTATTTTAAGTTCAAATTTTTGAAATTATCTTTTATTAAGAAATTATTTTTTTCTTTTTACCTTATGCTATAAGATAAAAATTAAAAAAAAAAGATATTGGTGATATGTTCTGGGCAATTATATATGGAATGATTCTAATTTCAATATACAAAATTGAAGAAAAACATTAAAATGTGGTGTATTTTTATATACAATTTATATAGCTTCAATTAAAATTCTTACCACCAATGGTAAAATCCCGATATGCAATGCAAATTATTCTCAATCCATTTGAGGCCATGGGTTCAATAACTGATCGGTTTAACTTATCAATATCAGCTTTGCATAGAGCTTCTATATTTCCATCTTTATTAATTATTTGTGTACATTTTGCTAAGAGTATTTCAGCTGCTCCTTTTGAGAACATTCGCAAACCACCTCCTGGTTTTTCTATTACTGTTGACATTGATTTGCGATTCGAATTAAAAGTGTATACATGGACAAAATTATTCTCAGGAATTTGGTTACGATATTGTTCATATGTTTTACCAAGCTTCAAAACAAAACCAAGTAAGGCACATTCTGTTTTGTTTCCAATTTGCTCATGAAAACCATCGTCAGCAAAAGATAGTGCCACAGAAGAGGCAGAAGATGAAGTATTAGGTGGCTAAATTTAAAACAACTTGTGACTAAAAATTATAAGTGTTACACAATGTAAATATAGATGTAAAAATATAAATATTACCAAACATATCATGTGATTAATCACTGGGATAAAACCAGCTATATTAATATTTTTAACTATTTATTGGTGTCACAGGCATAAAATGGGTGGGCAAATGTGACTTTTAGAAAAAAAAAATTTTTAACATTTTAGTTGTAAAAAGTAATGAAATCTTACACTCAAGAATACTGCAAATATAAATAACACGATCAAATTTATTCCTTAAATTTTTCAAGTCTTAGGCTTTTATAAATTAATATGTTATTATATATAAGAGTATTTATATATATATATATATATATATATATATATATATATATATATATATATATATATATATATATATATATATATATATATATATATATATATATATATATATATATATATATATATATATATGTAAACTTTATATTACAATAACTATTTGAATTCATTTTTTCATTTTAAAAGTATAATGGATTGTTCTATTGTCTTGTTAAAATCATCCTAGGCAAAGATTTAACTGCTAAACAATCCCACTCCTTAACTAAGTTATTGTGAAAAAGTGACCACTTCTTAATTAAGTAGCCTGTGATTCATTTACATTGTTTCCTGATTAGAATGACGAACACTAGATTCTTGCTTGTGTCACTTTATGATGATAGTAATGGTTATGTGTTTAATTGATTCATTCTTGTTAATAAACCACATTTTCGGTTTATTAAAAAAAATGAATCAATTGCATAGTTTACGATTTAAAACCCCAATTAGTAAGCTATGATAGAATAATGTCTATTTTTAACTCCAGTAATCTCACTTCAATAATGACTGCATAACAAAAAAAAAAATACTAAATGTAAAAACATCATTGTAATTTTGAAACTCAAATATAGATAGTGTAGTTATGTTTATGCATTTTAAAAGGATACTACATTAGCTATTTTAATTCTAGAAACATGTTTTTTAAAATGACTTATTAAAAAGATTTTTGTAAGACATTGGTAATTCTGTAAGTTGTTATGTTTCTAGTCTCTTACTGCTTAAAGATGTGAAACAGATAAGAAACAGACAAGAAACATACAAATTTTTAAAAACTAAAAATTTAGGGTAATTAAAAACAATTAGGGGTATTATTTTTAGGGTATTAAAACAACTACTTTAAAAATTAGAAAAAAATTTATATAGTCTATTCTTATTTCTCTGACAGAGCTGATGAAAACTAGGTCAACAGTAATGAGTCAACAGTTTGACTTCTATGTCTTCTATAAAAAGTTATGTTACTAATTTTAATGAACAAAAAAAAGGTTTTAACAAAAGAAAACACTGAAACTATTATTAAAACTTATTAAGACAAATCATGAGACAAAAAAAAAAAAAAAAAAAAAAAAAAACTAAAATAATGAATAAAATATTTAGCTTTAAGGAAACAGATTCCTTAAAAAGGTACTGATTTAATTGATTGATTCTAACCAGACAAGTGGTTATGATAAGCAGTCTGAAATTATGTAAAGAATTATTTTTTGAATAAAATAAAACTTAAAAAAAACTTAAGCAACTTTCAAATATTCAAATATTTTAATCTCATTAGTGAACTATTATGTTTGAACTTAATAACTTGATAACTTTTTAAAAATTTTACTTTATAAGTTTGGAACTTATAATATAATGCTTCCATACTTTTTTATACAATAATTACTAGCATGTCAGTACAAGCGTCTGAACTTATTTTAACCCCAGGCCCTAGTTAAATTATAAAATTAACCTTATTTTAATCCCAGGCCCCAGTTAAATTATAAAATTAACCTTATTTTAACCCCAGGCCCCAGTTAAATTATAAAATTAACCTTATTTTAACCCCAGCCCCAGTTAAATTATAGTAAAATTAGTCAAAGTTATTAGACAGGGATATCTGCCTTTTAAAATAATTTAAGTTACATAACTATTTATGATTTAAATTTAGCTTGAGTTCACATTTCTGTAAAAAATAAAATGGAAAAGCTATACTTCTACAAAACAAAACAAAAATTAAAAAAATACCTTAATCCTTGATTCATAATTACTGTTTATTGAAACACACTGACAAAAGAGATCCAGAAATTCTTCATTCAATATTTCGTGTTTTGGTATTTGTTTATAGTAAAAACTCTGGATATAACATTCTACAACAGTCATTCGGTTTGTTGTTAGTGTACCTGTTTTATCAGAACAAATTGTTGTAGCTCTTCCCATTGTTTCACATGCATTCAAATGACGCACTAAATTATTATCAACCAACATTTTTTTGACTGAATATGCTAAAGAAATAGTAACAGCAAGTGGCAAACCTTCAGGTATTGCCACTATCATTATGGTTACACCAAGAATAATAAAATGTAAGTAACTCATTAAATGATTGTTACTCCAGTGTTCTTTTTTCTCATAATAGGTTTCGATACAAAAATGCAATATAAGAACACAGACAGTAACTATAGCAGCACAAATTCCAACCCAGCCTACCATAATAGTCAATTTTGCTAACTTATTTTGTAAAATAGACTTATCTTTTTCTCTATTTTCTTTTTTCTGTTTATTATAATCTTTTTTACTCAATTGTTTTTCACTAGATTCCTGTTCTTTGGTAGCTCCTAGCAGAAGCATGATGCTACCCGATTTAGAGTTCACACCAACTGCAGTAATAATATATTTTCCAGTACCTTCCATAAGGCGTGTACCAGATAACAATGCTGGATTTTTTATACTTTTAGAAACCAATTGTGACTCACCTGTTAAAGAACTTTCATCAACTTTTAGATCATTTCCTTCCAACAAAATACCATCAGCAGGAACTATATCTCCATTATTTACTAAACATACATCTCCTACTAATAATTCTGAAAGTGAAAGCTTTACAACATTGCCATCTCGAACAACACTAACAACATGTTCATTGTTTATCTTTTTATGTAGCTGCATAAACTGTTTTTCTTTCTGCCAATTATTTAATGCAGTTACAATTGTAACTATAGCAACAGCAAATAAAATCGCAAATCCTTCAATACATTCTTCCCTTAAATCTTTTATCGCAAAACTTATTATAAGGGAAATTAAAGCACAAAAAATCAAAATCTGTAAAACTTTGTCACTTAGCGCTTCCCATATATGTTTATATATAGACTTAGGCGGTTTTTGTTCAATTATATTTTTTCCAAATATTTTTTTACGTGTATTTAACTCTTCAGAGTTACTTATAATTCCATAAGTAGTAGAACTTTTTAAAGCTTTTACTAGACCAAAATTGTCATTAAATCTTTCTCTAATTGCATCAAATATATCATTTTTATTCATAAGATCTACCAATTCTTTACAGGTCACCTGATAATCAATTGAATCTTGAATGTTAACTTTATCATCATCATTGTCGTTATCATCAATTCCATTTATTAAAGCAGTACGTTCTTCATCAGCCATTTATTTATTAAAAAACTAAAAATTGGATTCTAAATTTAATTCATTTCTTTTAAAACATAACTAAAAATATAAAAAAACACATTAAAAAAAGTAATACAAAAAAAATCAATTTAACAAAAAACATTCTTTTATAAATGCATATCATTCAATAATAATACTAAAAAAAGAGATCATTGCTATCAGTCAACTTTAATTCATTTCAAAATCAGTTTATAATTCTTAATTTATTCATTTGTTTTCATTTGAGAGTCCAAGTAAACATGCATGAAAAAAACAATAAGTACAAAAACAATGACAAGTAGATGGATATGAACATGTAGATGATTATAAAAAAAAAAGTAGTTTGTAAATGAAAATAATAGTTTAAAAAAAGTTTTTATATGTTAACAATAAAAATACCTTTGTTGTAAATAATCTAAAAAAATGTGGAAAGCCAATTCCATAAATGTTATTATAATCCACTCACTACAAAGTAGATGTTTGAGAAAAGTATCACTTTTCTCTTGCCTAACAGTATAATTTATGGTAAACATATTTTAATGGCAGAGAACTTATTTACTGACTTATTTACTTTATTATACAATGCTGACATTTTAGAGGTATAATAGTTCATTGAAAGTTCTACCAAGTGGTCTTGTCTATAATCTTTGTGTTTTAAAGTTATAAAAAGAAATTAACAACTGTTTGATTTAAATGTTTACATTTAAAAAATATCTTGTATTTGCATAAATAAATAAACAAAATATAAAACAATACCAAAAAACAAATTTTGTACATAGAACCACTTCTATGGTTGGTAAAGTTACAGAAAAGTTAATTACACAACTACAAAACAAATGGATATTAAAAAAATTGGAAAATTAACAAAAAGCAACAAAATTAGTACTACAATAAAAATAAAACAACAAATTAAGTTGAACTAATTTCAATTAGAACCATCTAATTGCTAAAACAAAAATGTAATATATGTGGCTCTAAACATTTAATCATTAGAGAAATTACTAAAAATTCATATAAACTTTTTTATTTTTTTACATAATTGTATTATCTTGCTTTCCAGCATATATTGTTTATTCTAAAAATGTTGCTGAGTTTTTTTTTTTAAAAAAAGATATGAAATCACTCATTTTATATATAAAAAATCAAATCAAATTTATTTACATGATCAAGGCCCAAATCAATAAAAATATATATAATACTTTATAGCAAAACTAAACCATAAGTCACATAGGTTCTGGAAACCTTTGGTTGAGGGTGCACATAAGACAATACCATCAGCATAATAAAGATGGTTAATGAGAAAAAGACTTAAACAGCATCTTATGGGAGTTGTGTTAAATTGAACACTAAGATCATTAATATATAATTAAATAGCAGTGAAGCTAGTATACCATCTTGTCGCACTTCGTTACCAATAGTGAATGTATTAGATAGTAAGCCAGCCCAAGAAATTTGACCTGTTTGACCAATATACCAGACAATGAGTAAGCATTAGGTCACATTAGAGACAATTTCAGAGAGTTTTATAAACAATGTGTCAAAGCAAACTCTATCAAAAACCTTATTGATATCAGTGAATGCTACATGCATATTTGAGCCTTGAGACAAGTAAAAATTTAAAAAGTCGTTCAAAATAAAAACAGCCATAAAAGTGCTATATTTTTTTTAAAACCAAATTGATTAGTCCCAAGGAAACTTTTGTTAACTCATAAATAAAAAGTATATATATATATATATATATGTAATGAAGCCATATATATGTAATGATATATGTAATGAAGCCATGGACTACAGGTTATTTCAGTGTGACATCAGAGTGCTCATCTAAATTAGCGATTTAAGTTATATATATATATATATATATATATATATATATATATATATATATATATATATATATATATATATATATATATATATATATATATATATATATATATATATATATATATATATAGGGTTGAGAGCGTAGAATGCTCTCCCAAAACAAACAGCTTTTTACAAGAGCTTTTGGTTTTTTGTACGAAATATCTGTTTATTCTTTTAAAAAAAAGCTTATTAAGCTTATTATGCCTTTTTAAAAAACATTGAATATATTTTTATAATGTAATTAATTTTTTTTTTTTTAGAAGAATGTGGGCAAGAGCTAAAGCTCTCGTTTCTCCCCGAGGCCTGTTTATATATATGTATATATATATATATATATATATATATATATATATATATATATATATATATATATATATATATATATATATATATGTAATGAAGCCATAGACTACATGCTATTTCAGTGTGACATCAGAGTGCTCATCTAAATTAGCGATTTAAGTTTTACATACATATATATATATATATATATATATAAATACATATATATATATATATATATATATATATGTATATATATATTTATACAGGCCTTGGTAGGAGTTAATAGGGTTGAGAGCGTAGAAAAGCTCTCCCAAAGCAAACAGCTTTTTACAAGAGCTTTTGGTTTTTGCACGAAATATCTGTTTATTCTTTTTAAAAAAAGCTTATTATGCTTTTTAAAAAACATTGAAGATATTTTTATAATGTAATTAATTTTTTATATATATATATATATATATATATATATATATATATATATATATATATATATATATATATATATATATATATATTATAAAGAAACCTGTCTATATTACAAAAAGGATGTTCAAAAAATGAATCTTACCATTTAGTTATTAGTTAGGTGAAAAAAAAAAATTGTGCTATATTTATATAATTACAATAGGTGGTTAATTAATACACCTTTCAAAAAATAATTAATCTAAATTAATTTGTTTTTTACCTTTGCTTTTTTATAGGGTGAAATTTTATTAATAATTTATTTTTTTATTGAACAGTTTTTTTCAATAAGTTATCTTACTGATCTTTATTTGCATTATTAATTTCCTTATTATATTAAGTTAATTTGATTAACATTCTTATTGTCACTATAACATCACTACAATTATTGTTAATACCATTTATATTTTTGCATACTATTACATTTGTTAGGATTTACTAATAATATTATAAAAAATATTAGTAATGTTATTTTGATTATTTATTATTGTTATTATTGTTGTTGTTGTTGTTGTAATTTTTATTACAATTATTATTCAATAATTTATTGACTGCAATAATAATAACATTACAAAAATTTAATAAAAGTTTTATTAAAACTTTGTTGTTATTTCATTTTAATTATCTGATTTAACTTTTTAATGTTATATCAAATTAATAATCTTCCTTTCAGGTTATATTTTAATAGATTTGCTGGTACTATTAGCAATTTTCAATGATATTTAAATTACAAAAAAACTAAACCAGAGTTAATATTAGATAAATTAGTAACAATTAAATATCAACTCTTGTTTAGTTTTTATTATTATTATATTATATAATTGTAAATTGCATAATTTACAATTATGTAATATGGTATATTTTATAATCGTGAAAATATTAGAACAACAAATCTAATTTTAATTTTTTAATTTGAATTTTAGAAAATTATGTTTAAAAAAAATCATTAACAAGCACATATGTGCTTACTAACGATTTTTTAAATCATTAGTAATTTTTCTAATATTCAAATTAAAAAATTAAAATTAGATTTGTTGTTCTAATATTTTCACGATTATAAAATATACCATATTATATAATTCAATTATATAATAATTGTCATGCAATTCAGTTTTTATTGTTTTATGTTTAATCTAAGACCAATCATCGTTTATTTTTATTTAAAAAAAGCAACTAAACTGTACATATAAACGACTCTATATAAAGAATAGAAAAAAAATTTAAAATTTTTATCAAACTGATACTCAAAGTCAAACTGAAGTTTTTTTAGACGTTGTTCGCTGTTATTTTTCTAATAAAAATAAAGTAAGATTATTGGTCTTATGTTAAACATAAAACTAATTATCTAATTTTTTGAAAAATTACACAAAAAACTAATACTGTGAATATCATTTTAATTATTAATAAAATAAATTGTTTAAAAACTCATAAGTAAAAAAGTTTTGCTTCATGTTATTAGTTTTTTCTACTGCTATGTCACCATTTTGAATCGCTAAATTTTTAATTTTATAACTTCAATAGTTTTTGGTTGTCATAGTATTAAACTTGATTGTTTAAAGACGTAGTATTAAACTTAATTGTTTAATACAAGACTGTTATTTAGTTAACCATATACCATTACTTGTCATATCATACATACTGATTCTTGTAATATATCATACTGCATAGAAACATAATCGGAAAGGGTAGCAATGGGCCTTTTGCCCTTGTTTAAATTTTTTTTTTAATAATTCTTTTTTGTATTTTTACTATATTTAACTCTGCATTTTGTTACAAAAAGAAGGAAGTAAATTAGTCAGACTGTTTAAAAATGATATGAAATTTTAGTAAAATTGTAAAATGCGAACTTTAAATCGGACTTTCAAGATAGTGATATTTACTTCGTTACATATTTATAAAGTATAAGACATATATTCAAAAATTTACTAAAAGTGTATTATTATTTGTGGGCTTGCCTACCCACAAATCATAAAACTTTAAAACCACCCCCCTTAACCGATGGATTGGATCCACTAAATCAAAAAAAATTTAAAAATCGCCCGCCATCCCTTACTTAATGGTTCGTATCCGCCCCTGAGAACTAATAACCATCATATTCCTAAAACCTTAAAAAACAAAAGATCTCAACAAATAGATTTCTTAAATTTAAGTAACAATTTTCCCATATTTGTCCGTTCCTTTTTTAAAAAAAATTTTTCACTTTTCATTGTTCGCATATTTTTTTATTCAACCTTGTTCTAAGAGCTGTTGCTAAAGTGTTACTTAGTATTAATAATCTTTCAATTAATTTTATTACATTATAAGCATAGCCGTTAAAATCTATAGATGAATGCAAAAAACAATAGATGGAACATTTTACATTGAAATAAAACTTCAGATAAGAAAATTAATGTTTTGATAAA